GTATTTATATATACGAACTGAATGGTGACCTTTGAACTCATCCACACAAACGCGCCTTTCATTACGTATTGCTATATAATATATTAGTGATGAACGACGACAACGTTGTCCTGCAGTCGGCGTCCGGTGTGGTCGGCGGCGGCCCTCAGGTGGTGCTCAGTCCACAGGGCACAGGCGGCGCACCCGTCAACGTAGCGCCCGTTCAACCGCTCGGCCCCAACACATCCCACGGAGTGATAGTTCCCACACCCACTCAACTCATGGGTCTTGGATTACAAGTGTCAGGTAAGCGATCGCACCCGACATGACCCGACCCCCACTCGCGTCCATATAAATACCGACTGTCTGTGCGCTCATTGGCCGCGAGTTTTCGCTTTATTATATGCATAGCAATAATGAGATGCAATAAATTTGTTTATTTTTTAAATACAAATCAATGGGAATAAAACTTCAGATAAAGAAAACTTATTTTGCTTTCGAAAAGTGTTTACAAAAGAAGTGATAAAAGTTTGTAAAAACAGAACAACATATTTATGGCGAATAGTACTTGAATTTAATGTAGTTTTGAGACAAAAACTTTACTCAAAGTATTTTTCGAAAACTTTTTTTCTTCTTCATTGAGCCGATTATCGGATAATTTATTTTATAAAATCATAACAAGTAGTCGACCACTAAAAACCAACATTAATTCTATGGGATTCGCAAAACCATTAAAATTGTTGTATAAATTTTAAAAACAACGGTTTTCTATAGAAATATAGTTTATATAATAAACAGACTTATAATGTAATGACTGTTATAGACATGAATAAGAATTTGTTTAATTTGTGACATAAAAACCATTAAAAAGCAAAACTCGTGTAAATAAATGGCTATAAATTTAACGCACAATTTGTTGTGAAGTAACGGAGAGAGTGGTTGAGAGAGAAGTGATGGTTGGCTTTGCCATCCCATTGCCATCGCACAGGCATTTGTGTGTTTCGTATGAAAACTATTTCAATCGTTGAGGAATTATGTTTCAAATAATTCTTAAACGCTTTGAATAACATTAGAATTATTTATGTGTTATAATTATATGTATTGAAATATTAGCCACTTGTATGGGCGGGACATATGTCTAGTAGTTTTTGCTAAAATAGACACACAATTATGATTCGCATAATAATAATCGTAAAGACTTTTTCTGGTCATTCATTGCGTCGAGTGTTTTAAAAAATATGTTTCAATCATGACATTAGACTTAAAGGATGACAACTATCCGTATCAGCCCTACGGTTACGGTTACAGCTATGACATCCAAGGTATGACATATTTGTGCTATATTTTTGTGACAACATTTCAGTTCACTTTTTCTATATAAAAGTGTTTATTATAGTTATATTCTGTTATAAAGTACTCTATGTATAAATGCCTGAAATGTTATAACCGCTAATCTCGTGTGAAATCGCTTGCATTTACTAATGATTTCATTAAAAAATCTTAAAATGCCATTTTAATCAAGCATTTAAAATGAAGTCTTAATTCAATTATTGTGAAAATGCAATAACTTTTAGATAGAAATCAAAGTAAATATAGTCTTATTACAGATGGATTCGTGAAACGTAACACTATTTTATAACTTTTTAAATATTTTTTATTTTTGTCTGCGAAATGATTTCACTAAAAGCACGAAACTTATTACTTGTATCTCGTATTCAGAATATATAGATATAACTTATTTGTCTCGTTTTTGGCCAAAATTTTTTAGCAAAAAATATATTTATCGTCAATATGTTTATACGTTTACTGTTTACTGAAATTGTAATACAAATTATAGGTTTCTAAAAAATAGCGATTTTTTTACTTATTCTCGCCATTAAATACAATATTAAAATAATAACTATTGTTATGATTTAATAATAATACTGTAGATGTATTGCACATATCATCGATTGTTATCTTATCGGCAAATCATTAAAAATATCACTTCTTTTGATAACATTTATTGCTTTTGAGTTTCTATTTAAAGAATATATAATCAAAAATAAGATGAACATAGGGTTTGAGGTACGGCTCTGTTTGGTTTGAGATAAACTTTTTCAGACTATCAGAGGGTTGGGGAGCGATGTTTGCATAGGTTTTGTTTACTGCGAGAACCAACACTTTTTCTCCATATATTCTATACACATGTACTTAAACTGTTTCCATACCCAATGTTTAAGACTCTTATGTTTGACTTGAATTGTCTACTAATTTGCGACAAATTCCTGTGTTTTCAATGAAAATATATATCATTTTTCACCCAAAAATGGGCTTAATTTCTATATCACTGTCGCGTTTCCAACATATTTGCTGATAAGAAGGCAAACGAATAGAGAATGTGTTTCACATATTCAAGACTACAAATATTGGAGTTTATTAGATATTTTTATAACACAAGTGAAGGCAAACATAACTTAAAATCACATATAATTCACTAAAGGGTTTAGGAATAATGACTTGATTTATAGATTTATAAGCATATATTGAGCCCTTATTTCTCATGGATTACACGTACACTACACTAATCTATGCTGATTTAGATTAGATATCAGTTTAATTTTTGTCAACACATTGAAAAATATGTAATTATTTCATGTCTTGTATTGATTGCTATTTATTTTGACAATTTATAATAATTTAATATTGAATGTTAAATGTGTGACAAAGTTATGTGTTGTAGTGTACGAAGAAATGCCGACTTTGAGCCTAAGTTCGTGCACTCGTTTTCATATGATTTGTGAAGAAATGACATTAAATTTGTAGTACAGAACAGATCCAACACAACAGTCCAAAGTCCAGTTCCTCTCAAATACACACAACACACACTTAATAATCAATTTCTCAGTCCTTATATTGATTAATATGTATAGACAGTACTACTACTGTATGTATCGTTTATTTTTTAAACTATAATTAACTTTTTTCCAAAAAATTCCATCATTTCATGTATTATATGCATAATATAAGAAAAACATGATAAAACATGAGAACTATATTGACATTTAAATGCAAATTCAATTAATATCCTAAATTAGATCCAAACGGAGACATCTCTTTGTCGACCCATTTAAACGGTGGCCAGAATTCGCCGCCGAGTGGTATCCAACAGCCCTGTGCCATATGTGCCGATAAGGCCACCGGCAAACACTACGGCGCCTTCAGCTGCGATGGCTGTAAAGTATGACAAAAATATCACTCATTTTCAGACCTATAGTCGGCTCACAATTTGTGTCGCTTTTCTAATTCATTACATTAAGGGATTCTTCAGACGCTCAGTCCGTAAGAACCATCAGTACTCGTGTCGGTTCAGTAGGAACTGTGTTATTGATAAAGACAAACGAAATCAATGCAGATATTGTCGGCTCAAGAAGTGCTTCCGCGCGGGAATGAAGAAGGAGGCCGTTCAGAATGAAAGGGATCGCATCACTTGCCGGCGCCCCAGTTATGATGACTCGGCCAACACTGGCGGCACTTCCATACACGCACTTCTTCACGCGGAGATGTACTCACGACAGGTAATGGTAACGAATCGCATCATTTTAGTCATCGGATCCCTAAGTGAAGCGTCAACTTTCTCTCACTATTTCAGATCGTTTCACAACCGATTGAAACCAATTTTCAGTCCAAGAAATTGGCAAATATTAACGATGTGTGCGATTCGATGAAACAACAGCTCCTCATTCTAGTAGAGTGGGCCAAATGCATACCGGCCTTCACTGAACTCCAGATCGACGATCAGGTGGCCCTTCTTCGCGGTCACGCCGGCGAACACCTGCTGTTAGGACTGTGTCGCCGATCCATCACAATGAACGACATCCTATTGCTGGGCAATGACTTCATAATCCCGCGCCACTCACCCGACCCCGAGATTAGAGGCATCGGAAACCGTATATTAGACGAAATCGTGGGCGTCATGAGAGACGTCCGGATGGATGACAGCGAGTTTGCGTGTCTTAAAGCGATCGTCTTCTTTGATCCTTGTAATTGTCGATTGAGTAGAGATGAGTTCTGTTCCTAATACAAAATGGTTATTTGCTTATAGCAGCTAAAGGCCTTCAGGATCCTAATAAAGTCAAGACACTCAGACGTCAGGTGCAGACCTGTCTCGAAGACTATATCAACGACCGGCAGTACGACTCGAGGGGCAGATTTGGTGAGATTTTGCTGCTGTTGCCGCCCCTCCAGAGCATAACCTGGCAATTGATAGAACAGATCCAATTTGCCAAACTCTTGGGAACGGCCAAAATCGATAGTCTGATCCAAGAGATGCTTCTCGGAGGTAATGTAAACGCAACGCCCAATGGCCCAATACAATGGTCCAGAAACCATCAGCTCTGGCAGGGATCGTACCCCAGTATGTCTACCATAATCAACAATTATCCATATATTACACCTTCTCCTCAATCCTCTTCTCTAATCCTCACAATCTTTCCTATTATATGATATTATTTGCTAAACACATGTCATTCATTAGATATCATCATAAGTTACGCAATGATATTAAATGAATAATTAGCTCATAATATGATAAATCAATTGTATTTCTGTTATTTAATCCCATACTTCTAATCGCTATAAATATTTGTGTCGACTCTTTTATATTAATGTCAAATGTATGGAAATAACAGGACAAACGTTTCCGGACAACAGTAGTGCAAACGCCTCGACAAATGTCATGTCTGGCAGCGGGTCATCCAGTAGTCATCAGTCCAATGGCTCTCAACCTCCGATGACTGTCCACACAATTGGCGGTGCCGTCAATGGCGTCACCACTAATATAACCAATAACTCACATAACTCTCTGGCAAATGGCCACCACTCGGACATAATATCCAACGGTCACAGCTCTGACACATCCATTCCCTCCCCAAACGAAGATTCATATAAAATACAATCAAATCCATTGTCCTTCAAACGAGAAAATATTGAATCCGATGTTAACTCGTTTTAAAACTCGTTTTTTGTTGAATTTTTTGTCTATAAAATCAGAAGATTTTCATTTCCAACACCTTTTAGAAGATGTTTTGTTTGAATGCATAATTAATATCTCCCGAAAGAAATCATTAAATCATTTTGTCTGACATTACTATCATTTTTCCAGTAGTTTATCAAAGATTTCAGACCTAAAGAGATATATATTTAACGAAATAATAATCATATTTGTTTAAAAAGAGAGTTTAATCTTATAATTTACTGTACTTTATAACGAGTTTATTTTG